TTTTGGGGCTGACTTCTGTTTTCTGCTGGGATCTTGACTGTTATTCCCTTCTTGTTGAAGAGGGTGTGGTATAGTTTGTACAATTTAATATAAACTTGTGCAATAAAGAATACCCACTTTTGCCCTGGCCTTTTTGGTTCAGCAGTTAAAGCGTCGGCCCACAGACCAGAGAGTCCTGGGTTCAGTTCCCGCTAAAGGTATGTACCTTGGTTGCAGTTTGTCCCCGGCCCTGGTTGGTGTAGTGTGGATGGCGACCACTTGATGTGACTCTCTCACATCGATGTTTCTCTCTCTCTTTCTCCCTTTCTCCCCCTTGCTCTATCTGAAGATAAATGCAAAAATGTCCTCGGGCGAGGATAAAAAATAAAAATAAATTAAAAAAGAAAGAATACCCACTTTTAAAATACAGATCAGACAGATGAAACTCATCCATATCTTGGCTGGTGGTGATCTGAAGAAAAACACTACTGCATGTTAAAAATCAGTATGGGGGAAGCACATGAGAAAAACTTCTTGGGGGCTCAAAAGGGTAGAGAATTTAAAAAAATTAACAGGTTTACTGAAATGTGATTTATATATCATACAATTCACCTTTCTAAAGTATGGAGTTAAGTGGTCTAATCCCTTTACATTTAATATAATTGCTGAGAAGGTAGGATTTATATCTGTCATTTTGCTATTTGTTTTCTATTTGCCTTTTTCACTATTGTTCTTATTCTTCTATTCATCCATCATGGCTTCTTTTGTGTTAGATAGTTTCTTAATTCCCTTGTTGTTTCTTTCTCTCTCTCTCTCTAAAATACACACACACACACACGCACACACACACACACACATATATATTTAAATTTAATTGATTGATTTGAGGGAAAGAGGAAGTGGTGAGAAAGAGGTGGGGGGATAATTTGTTGTGTCACTTATTTGTGCATCATTAGTTGGTTGTTGTATGTGCCCTGACCAAGGATCGAACTTGCAAACTTGGTGTATCTGAATGACACTCTGACCAACTAAACTACCCGGCCAGGGCCCTTTTACTATATATATATATTTTTTAATCCTCACCCAAGGACATTTTTCCATTTTTTGTTCAGATAGAGTGGGGAGGGAGAGAGAGAGAGAGAAACATCGACGTGAAAGGGACACATTGAGTGGTTGCCACCCGCATGACCCAACCAGGGCCAGGGACAAACTGCAACCGAGGTACATGCCCTTAGTGGGAACTGAACCGGGTCTCTCTGGACCGCAGGCCAATGCTCTACCACTGAGCCAAACCGGCCAGGGCTATATTTTAAAGTTATTTTCTTAGTGGCTGCTCTGGGGATTACAATGAACATCTTTTTAAAATTTTTATTCTTTAGATAGAGTGGAAGGGAGGAGTGGTGGGGGGAGAGAGAAAAAAAAAAATCAGTGTGAGAGAGACACATCAGTCAGTTCCTTCCTGCACGACCACAACTAGGGCCAGGGTGAGAGCCGGGATCAAACCTGCAACCCAAGTATGTGCCCTTGAACCTGCGACCCTCTGGTTTGTGAGCTGATACTCTAACCACTGAGCCAAACAGGCCAGGGGTTTACTTTTTACAATCTAATTTGGTTTAAGAGTAAATTAGCTCGGTCGGTGTGGCTCAGTGGTTGAGCGTCAACCCACACACCAAGAAGTCGCTGGTTCAATTCTTGGTCAGGGCACATGCCCAGGTTTTGGGCCAAATTCCCAGCGAGGGACGTGCAGGAGGTGGCCAATCGATGTTCCCTCTCATTGATATTTCTATCTCTCTCTCCCTCTCCTTCCTCTCTCTCTAAAATCAATAAAGAAAAGAAAAAAAAAGAATAAATTAATTTCAGTATCTTACAAAAACTATGCTTCTATATAGCTGTTTTCTCTAACCTTCTTCATCTATCAACACAATTTTATAGTTAGTGCCTTATATAAGTTATCTGTAAATGAGATAGGAGAAGAAAAGTTTTGACAAAAAATACACTTTTCTCCCTGGGGCTTATCTGAACTTGGTTCTGAGCAAAGAGCCCCTCCTTGGACAGGCTCAGGGATGAGAACAGCTCCTGTGTGTACTGTTTCCATGGTGAGTGGCTTTTGAGCATCTCTAGTGGTGCATGAAGAACTCATCATCTTTCTGCCACTGCCTCCCTGTGATCCCTGCCTTGGGTGACTTTTTTCAGGTTGATGACAATAACTTCACAGAATCATAGGGCACTGCGCAAAGCCTCTGATACGCTCCACCTCATCAATGCCTGACAACAAACTGGGGGCAGCCCATTCTATAAATGAGGGAGGCGCTGGTCCTGACTCACAGTCAGCTAGTGAGTGACATAACTAAGTCCAGAGTTCAGAGCCTAGTCCTTGCTCACTCAGGCCTTCCACCACAGAAGTGTAGGCCAGGCTCATCAGCTCGATGAAGAGGGTATACACCCAGAGTGAGCTGTCTCTCACCTGAATCACGTCTGAGGGCCCCAGCACCCACATGTCTTTCTCACCTTTCTAAGTGAACCATTAATGAGACCACCCTGCTTAAAAAAAACCTCCCCTCTCACCTTCCCAGTTTTATATTTCTCCTGAACACTTACCACTATCATACAATACATTTTCCAATTTCTTTTCTTTTCTTTCCTTTTTTTTTTTGGTATGTGCCTCTAGAGGAAACCGAACCCGGGACTCTCTGGTCCACAGGCCAACGCTCCAACTGCTGAGCCAAACCGACCAGGGCATATTTATTTTTTAAATATTTTTTTAATTGATTTGAGAGAGAGAAAGAGGAAAAGAGAGACAGACAGACACATCAATTTGTTGCTGCATTTATTTATGCTTGATTCTTTTTCTTTTTTCTTTTTGCATTTATCTTCAGATAGAGCAGGAGGGAGAGAGAGAGAGAAACATCAATGTGAGGGAGACACATCGAGTGGTTGCCACCCACACGACACCAACCGGGGCAGGGGACAAACTGCAACCGAGGTACATGCCCTTAGCGAGAACTGAACCTGGGACTCTCCAGACCGCGGGCCAATGCTCTAACTGCTGAGCCAAACTGGTCAGGGCTATGATTGATTCTTGTATATGGTCTGACTGGGGATCGAACTCAAAACCTTGGCATATCAGGACAACTCTCCAACCAATTGAGCTGCCTGGCGAGGGCCACCTTTTCCAACTTGAAAATCATATTTCTTGTCTATCCTCGCTGATTAGAAGCTCAGCTCCATGACTGCAGAGATTTTTGTTTGTTTAATTCAAAGTTGTATTCTTAGTGCCTACAATAGTGCCTTGACATAGTAGGTGCTCAATAAAGCTTGTGGAGTAAAAAAGTGAATGTTAAAACCTTTCTGCTGGCTTTCCAACACACTCAGATTAAAGCCAAACCCCTCTCTGCAGCTCACAAGGCCTTATATGATCTCGTCCCCTCAACTACCTGCCCTCATCTCCCCCTACCATCCTTCTCATTCATCCTGCTCCAGCCACAGGGTCCTTGCTGCTGGTTCTTGAATAAGCCAAGTTTATCCTGGCCTCAGGGCCTTTGCACCCACTGTTTCCTCTGCCTTCTTCCCATATAAACACATGGCTTTTCCTCACCTCCTTGGGTCATTGGTCAACTATCACCTCTTCAGAGAGTCTCTCCCTAATCTTCCTTATTCTACCACATGTGTTACTGCCTCCCCCACTTGAATGTCAGTGCCACATTGGCAGGGATTTTTTTCTCTTTGTCACTGCTGTGTCTTCAGTATCCAAAACAGTGCTTGGTACAGAGTAGGTGTTCAATAAAAGAGTTTGTTATGTCCCCGAGAAGCTGGATCTTACCTGTATCACTGCTGCCTCCACAAGCCCACACACAGGTTGAAGCTCTGAGTCTTGGTTATTTTCAGGAACTTGGGAAAACAACCCTGTGGATATAATATCAAAGCAGGCAGGACCTGGTTAGGGGGCTCATGGACTCCAAGGCCCCATCACCACCAACCCTTTCAGGCCATTCAAACTGCTGTCAGATTCAGGGAGGACAAAGGGACAAAGCTACAAGGACCTTGGCTCCTTCTCACATTGCTGCCCCCAACACTCCAGCATCTTCCTAGTCTCCTCATTCTTCCCACACATACCCCAGAACACTCCCCTGTATCCATTTGTGCTGATGTCCAACCATGGTGAATGAGTACAGCCAGATGTCCCGAGTTATTACTAGGTGTGTGACCTTGGAGAGGTCACTCCTCCTTTCTGTGCCTCAGTTTCTCAACTGTAAATGTGACCAACCTGATCCAGCTCACAGGACTTTTGTGTGGATTAAAAGAATCTGTATGAAGTACATAGTAGTGGCCTGACACAGAGCCAGCATTCAGTAACTATTAGTTATTCCTGAGTGTTCTTTATATATGAACAGAAGGGCTAATGTATCCAGTACCTTCTCACTAATTTCTCACTACAACCCCATTTCTCTGTTTTCTTTTTTATTATTATTATTACTTTTTATTGATTTTTAGAGAGACAGGAAGGAAGAGTGAGAGAGAAAAATTTCATGTGAAAACGAAGTATCCGTCGGCTACCTCCTGCATGCCCTCCACCAGGGATCCAGTCCACAACCCGGGCATGTGCTCTGACCGGGAATCAAACTGGCGCCTTTTCAGTGCATGGGACAACACCCAACCAACTGAGCCATACCAGCCAGGGCCTCTCTGTTTTATAAGTGAGGAAACTGAGGCTCAGACAGATTAAGAGACCAGACACAGTGGGAACAGCCTTCTGTTGGTGACGGTGCCTCTGCTGCCCTGGCTGTGGCCACTGAGATGCCCCACCTTCTAGGCCCCCAGCACTTCTTGTTTCTGAAAACTTGGGCTGCCTTGAGCTCACTGTTGGCAGTTCAGTGCCTTGTTCCTTCACTTAATAAGCATTTATTAAGTGCCTATTGTATGCTGGGCACTGGGAACCCAGCAATGTTAAAACAGAAAAAATTCTTGCCTTGGTGGGGCTGACATTTGAGTGGGGAAAACAGGAAAGAGGTACTGATTAAGCGCTAGACAGACACTGAAGCAGGGTAAAGAGATGAAGTGTGATGGTGATTTGGGGGAGATCCAATTATAGAGAGGAGGTCGGGAACAGTCTCACCAAGGACGTGACAATGGAGCACAGACTAGAAAGAAGTGAGGTAGGAAGATATCTATGGGAAGCAAATTCTAGGCAGGAGGAACAGCCTGGCATGTGCCTGGTGTGTTTGTGCTGCAGCGAGGAGGCTGGTATGGCTGCAGCAGAACAATTGGGGGGCTGAGTGGGAGAAGAAGAGGTTGTAGGGCCCAGTGGGCCAGTGTGTGGCCCCCTGTTCATCTCTGAGGCCCTGGCCTGGGACTCAACGTGGCCAGTTCCACAGGGTCTGCTCCCAGCAGAAGCCATTCAGGGTGATGAATAAATTAATGAATGATTTCCTATTTCTTCCCTCAGAGAAGATCCTTGTGTTCATTCACCCATGACAGAAGTCAAGAGGAAGCTGGGCATGAGGTTTAAAGCCGAGGTCCACCACTCCCTGGCTGTGGGAAGCTCTCTGTGCCTCAGTTTCCTCATCTGTAAAATGGGAGAAGAGCCTGGAGGGATGCGATGAGGAATGAATTCAAAAAGGTGAATGGCCAATCACGTGACCTTCATTATTCTTAAAATGGTCACTTCTCATCATTGTTGTTACAGTTTAAGTTCTCTGTGCTGCAGGCAGTGTGGCCCAAGCAATGCACTGAGGCCAGCGTGGACTCAAATCCCAAAGCCATGTGTCCTTGAGCCTTTTGCATCCCCATCTGTGAAATGAAGATGGTTGCGCTAACTCCCCAAGGCTGTATGGGTGAACTGAGCCGAACACCCAATGTGAGTGACTTTCTCTTTCCCTCAATGCCCTTGGCTGGGGTCCCCACAGATATGCAATTTTTTTTTTTAACTTTGATTATATGCAGATTTTTAAAATATTTATGTTTATTTTTTCTTAATTGATTTTAGAAAGAGGAAGGGAGAGGGAGAGAAATAGAAACATCAATGAGAGAGAACAACTATTGGCCACCTCCTGCATGGCCCCCACTGGGGATTTGGCCCACACCCTGGACATGTGCCCTGATTGGGAATCAAACCAGCAATCTTTTAGTGCATGGGTCAACACTCAACCACTGAGCCACACCAGCTGGGCTATATGCAGATTTTGTATATGTTTTTATTGATTTTTTTAGAGAGAGAGGAAGGGAGAGAGAGGTAAAAACATTGATGTGAGAGCCCTGGCCAGTTTGGCTCAGCAGTTAGAGCGTTCGCCCGCGGATCAATAAGTCATGGGTTCAGTTCCAGTCAAGGGCATGTACTTCAGTTGCGGTTTGTCCCAGGACAGCCCTGGTCAGGGTCATGCGCGAGGCAACTAGTCAATGTGTCTCTCATATCGATGTTTTTCTCTCTTCCTTTCTCTTCCTCTCTCTCCCTCCCACTCTATCGGAAGATAAATAGAAAAAAAAATCCTCAGGTGAGGATTAAAAAAGAAAGAAAGAAAGAAACATCGATGTGAGAGGAGACTCATCGATTGGCTGCCTCCTGCACGCCCCCTACTGGGGATAGAGTCTGCAACCCCAGCATGTGCCGGGACCAGGAATTGAATTGGGACCTCTCAGTTCATGGGATGACGTTCAGTCCACTAAGCCATACTGACTGGGTTATATGTAGATTTTTTTAAATTGTTGATTTTATTACAGATGTCCCCCATTTCCCCTCCCTTGCCTCCCTATGCCCTGCCCCCACACCCCTAGGCCTTCACCACATTATTGTCTGTGTCCATGGGCTATGCATATATGCATATATGTTCTTTGGTTGATCTCTTTCCATCTTCTTCTGCAGAGAGGAGAATAAACACTTGAAGACTTCCTTTTAATATTAAAATATTAAATATATATATATTTTATATTGATTTGAGAGAGAGAGAAAGGGGGAGAGAGAGAGAAACATCAATCAGCTACCTTCCGAATGCACCCTGACCAGGATCGATCGATTTATAGCAGCTCCTGGGGTAGGTGCAGCTAGTCGTCATTTCAAAGGAGGAGCCAGAAAAATCTGTGTAGCTTTTCACCCCACAGCACTTCAGCTGCAGAGAGGAGAATAAACACTTGAAGACTTCTTTTCAAATATTAAAACAACAAAACAATAGAAACCACAGTCACCATGACTACTATCTAGAGCAGTTACAATATTCCAGGACCTGCCTGGCCTGTGTGGCTCACTGGTTGAGCTGACCCATGTACCAAGAGGTTGCCGGTTTGATTCCCAGTCAGGGCACATGACCGGGTTGTGGGCCTGATCCCCAGTAGGGGGCATGCAGGAGGCAGCCAATCTATCTCTCTCATCGATGTTCCTGTCTCTCCCTCTCCCTTCCTATCATTCTAAAAATCAATAAAGAAAAAATATTTTTTAGAAACCACACAAGATTCCAGGGCCTGAGTACAGACATTCCTCACCACTTAGCACTTCGACTTTCGTGGGCTCACTCTATTGCAATTTTTTCAAATATATTCATTAAAAAGTTGATCAAGACAGTGAAAGTGATACAGCGTACACTAGGTTGTCTGAGTCAATTATACACCCCTGTATTACAATTAAAATTACTGTATGTATGGACTATAGGCCTATGTATCTGAGCAACCCAGGAATCCTTCAATGCCAGGTATAACTGTTAGAATCTGGAACAGATTAACCGCGATAAACGAGGGACAACTGTAAATGCCTTCCTTGCTTCCCAACCCCACCATGGCTCAGAACCCTCCATGGTTCTTATCTTACTTGGGGTAAAAGCTGAATTCCTCATCATGGCCCACATGACCTGCCTTGTCATCTCCAGGCCCTCATCTCTGCCCAATCTCCCTTTTACTCACTCAGCTTTAGTCTCACAGGTCTCCTTGATGTTTCTCAAAAACACTTAACAGGCCCTGGCCAGTTTGGCTCAGTGGTTATAGCGTCGGCCTGTGGTCTGGAGAGACCCGGGTTCGGTTCCCGCTAAGGGCACGTACTTCGGTTGCAGTTTGTCCCCAGCCCTGGTTGGTTGTGCGGGTGGCAGCCACTCGATGCGTCCCTTCATGTCGATGTTTCTCTCTCTCTCTCCCTTCCTTTCTCTCCCTCCTACTCTATCTGTACAAAAAATGGAAAAATATCCTCGGGTGAGGATTAAAAAAAAAAAAAACACTTAACAGGTGCCAGTATCAGGGCCTTTAGATAGGCTGTTCCCTCTTTCTGGAATGCTGTTCTCTCAGATATCTGCACGACTCTTCCCTCTTTCCAAGTTAGCCACAACCCCTGTATTAGTCAGGCTGGACTAAGTGATGCTGCATAACAAACAGCTCCTCAATCTCAGCCACTAGTTTTTCCTCACACCACATGCCCATCGCAACTTGGCAGGGGAACTCTATTTATCAAAGTCACTCAGGGACTCAAGTGGATGTAGCAGTTACCATCCGTAATGTTTCACTATTGTGACAAAATAAAAGAGAGCTTCGGAGACCCTGGCACTGGCAATGAACTAATTTGGTCTGGAAGTGACACCCATCACTTCTGCTCACAGTTCATTGGCCAGAACTCATCACATGACCCCCAACTAACTTCCAGAGGGCCAGGACAGGCCATTCTCCTGTGTGCTGAAAATAGGTGACAAATAGCACTTTCAAGTCAACAAAACCCTTGCTCTTGCCTTGTTTTTTCCTCATAGCACTTATCATCCCTTATACCAATGCCTTCTTGGTAGCTTCTTATCCATCTCCTCACTCAAGTATCAGCAAAAGAACGGCAAGGATTTTGTTTTGTGCCCAGCTGTGTCCCCAGAGCCCTGAAGAGTGCCCAGCACATAGTAAGTGCTCAATAAAGATTAGTTGAAAGGCTGTATGAATGAATGAGAGATATTCTGTACTGTCTCAAGCTTGAAAAGCCAAAACTGGGATGGATTCAGGCAAGCCTTCTACCCATTGTATGCCCTCTCTCAAGCCCCATAGCAGTTCCTGGGCCCAAGACTAAGATGTGAAGCATCCCTAAGAACAGGCAAGGGCTTCTCCTTCTAAACCCTCCCTGGCCTCAGAGACCCTCCTCAGCTGTCAGCCCCAGCAGCTTAGATGACACAAGGAGGCCGGCCCTGCTCCCTAAATAACCAAGATTCAAACTGTTTGTCTCACTAACTCGCATCCATGCAGATGGCTGCTATCAAAATACACACACACAAGTGTTGGCAAGAATGTGGAGAAACTGGAACCCTCATGCTATGCTGGTGGAAATGTAAATGGTGCAGCCAACCATGGAAAACAGTATGGAAATTCCTCAAAAAATTAAGCATAGCCCTGGCCGGTTTGACTCAGCGGTTAGAGCGTTGGCCTGCAGACCAGAGAGTCCCAGGATCAGTTCCGCTAAGGGCACGAACCTCGGTTGCAGTTTGTCCCTGGCCCCGGTTGGGGTTGTGTGGGTGGCAACCACTTGTGTCTCTCTCACATTGATGTCTCTCTCTCTCTCTCTTCCTTCCTCTCTCCATCCCACTCTTTAAGATAAATGCAAAAATGTCCCCAGGTGAGGATTAAAAAAAAAAATTAAGCATAGAATTGCCATATGGTCTAGCAGTTCCACTTCTGGGTGTACACCTAAAACAGCGATTTTCAGCTGGTGGACTGCACACATTGGTGTGCCACAAGAATGTTTAAAACATGCAATACCTGACTAGTCAGGGGCACTGACCAATTTCCCTTAGATTGTCCAATAAAAAAAAAATGACAACAGCTCTAGACGGTTTTGCTCAGTGGTTAGAGCGTCGGCCCTCGGACCAAAGAGTAGCGGGTTCAATTCTGATCAAGGGCACGCACGTACCTTGGTTGCGGTTCGTCCTGGTCAGGGTCGTGGGGGAGGCAGCCAGTCGATGAGTCTCTCTCACATCAATGTTTCTCTCTCTCTCTCCCCTTCCCACTCCATCTGAAGATAAATGGAAAAATATCCTTGGGTGAGGATTTTTTTGTGTGTGGTACATGCCTTGACGGGAACCGAACTCAGGACTCTCTGGTCCACAGGCGGATGCTCAACCGCTGAGCCAAACTGGCCAGGGCGGGTGAGGATTTAAAAAAAAAATGACAACAGCCAACACAACAATAGCCGTCTGGTATGAATGAATAAAAATTATAACTATTTTTTTGTCAGATTGGCAAAAAATATATTTTTTGGTATGCCGCAGAATTTTAGTAGTTAGTTTATGTGTGCTGTGAGAGGGACAGGTTGAAAAGGGCTCACCTAAAAGAATTGAAAGCAGCTCTGTTTGGCTCAGCAGTTAGAACGTCGGGCTGCAGACCAGAGTCCAGCGTTCGGTTCCACTAAGGGCACGTACCTCGGTTGCAGTTTGTCCCCGGCCCCGGTTGGGGTCGTGTGGGTGGCAGCCAATTGATGTGTCTCTCTCGCATCAATGTTTCTCTCTCTCTTTCTTCCTCCCTCTCTCCCTCCCACTCTATCTGAAGATAAATGCAAAAATGTCCTTGGGCAAGGATAACAAAATAAATAAAAGAATTAAAAGCAGAATCCGCACACCTGTGTTCACAATAGCCAAAAGGTGGGAACAACCCAAGTGTCCACTGACGGGTAATGGACAAGCAAAATGTGCTGTATCCATACAACAAAATATTCTCAGCCTTAAAAAGGAAGAGCATTCTTGCCCTGGCCAGCTTGGCTTAGTGGTTAGAGAGTCGGCCAGCGGACAAAAGAGTCTCGAGTTTGATTCCAGTCAAGGGCATGTACCTGTTCTGTCCCTGGCCCAAGTCAGGGTCATGCGGGAGGCGACCAATTGCTGTGTCTCTCTCACATTGATGTTTCTATCTCTTTCTCCCTTCCTTTCTCTCTAAATAATCAATAAAAACATATTTTAAAAAATGGTTAACCTTTGGCCTGTTTGGTTCAGTGGTTAGAGAGTCCATCCAAGGACCAAAGGGTCACAGGTTCAATTCTGGTCAAGGGCACATGCCTCGATTTTGGTTTAATCCCTGGCACTGGTTGAGGTTGTGCGGGGGGCAATCAATCTCTCGAGTCAATGTTTCTCTCTTATTCTCTCTCCCTCCCTCCCACCCACTCTATCTGAAGATCAATAGAAAAGTGTCCTTGGGTAAGGATTAAAAAAAAGTGGCCCTGGCCAGTTTGGCTCAGCGATTAGAGCATTGGCCTGAGGTCCAGAGAGACCTGGGTCCGGTTCCTGCTAAAGGCATGTACCTCGGTTGCAGTTTGTCCCCAACCCTGGTTGGGTTGTGTGGGTAGTGGCCACTCGATGTGTCCCTTTCACGTTGATGTTTCTCTCTCTGTCTCTGTTTCTGTCTCTGTCTCTGTCTCTCTCTCTCTCTCTCTCTCTCTTCCTCCTACTCTATCTGAACAAAAAAATGGAAAAATGTCCTCGGGTGAGGATAAAAAAAACGGTTAACATAGTAAATTTTGTTATGTATATTTTACCAAATTACAAAGAAATGTGACTCTCACCTTCTTCATGACCACGTTCCATTCTGTGGCATAGTCGTCTGGTTCACTGTAACCTCTATAATTTTTCAGGGTCACAAAGTTGTGTTCCAGGGCTACTTCTTAATTTTTTAAAAATATATTTTTATTATTATTATTTTTTAGATAGAGAAGGGAGAGAAGAGATGAGAAAGAAACATCAATTGGCTGCCTCCTGCACCCTCCATACTGGGGATGGAGCCCACAACCTGGGCATGTGCCTTGACCTGGAATCGAGCCAGCAACCTCTTGGTGCATGGGATGATGCTCAATCCACTGAGTCACATCAGCCGGGCCAGAGCTACTTCTTGAACCTCAAAGATGAAACAGGAATCCATGAACACACAAAATAGTAAGGTGCCCTGCTTGGTGAGGTTTCCTGGGGACATAGCGAGGAGGTGGGGGCTTCTCTTCTGCTTCCTTCACATTCCCTCCCCTCAGCAGTAGGTCTGTGCTGGAGGATGACAAACTCATTCTCCCATTAGCCCTGACAGAGAGACCCAGGGAGAGGAGCGTGGGTCGGGAGCTGAGCGCATCTGGTCGTATCCATCACAAACCAGTTTGAATCATCTGCTCTTTCCAATCACCCACACATCCGCTACACCCCCCCAATTTGGCTGAGGCTCAATTAAATATTTGAATATCATCGTCAGCAACCGAATCTCTCTCTGTCTTTGCACAAACAAGAAACAAATTTAATTTTCTATTTTAAAAATAAAGGTCTAAATTTTTTAAATTTCCCCTGAAGAGGTGATATAGTCACATGGTTCAAAATTCACAAAGCACAGAAGGGTAGACCATGAAAAGTCTCCCTCCCACCTTTTTCTCCCAGTCAACAAGTTCCTCCCACTCCACAATGACGAATGCCACTGTTTCCTGTGTCCCAAAAGAGATATTCTATGTGTGTCAAAGCAAATATATTTTATTATTTTTCCCCTTGCTCTATACTACTCTCACTCTGCATCTGGCTGTTCTCTAACAAGGATGGCAATTGCTCTTGGTTCCCTGCTGGTGTCCAGGTGGCCTTTGTCATTTCTGTGGACCATGTGCCAGCAACCAAGTGCTTTCTGTGGCCTCTCAAACACACGCATCCTGGGAGCAGCACTCAAGCCATGACTGATGGGAGGTGGCAGATCAATACTGCAGCTTCCTTGCCCCTTGGGTGGAAAAACAGATGTGTGTTCGGCATTGCGTCCCAGATGTCCCCCAGCAGAAGTGAACCCAAGTACCCACAAGGTCACTTTTTACAAACTGCATTCCCTTTCCTGCCTCACTTCCCTGTCTCTGCAGGTGCTTCTTGGAATCAGTTCTCAAATACACCAGGATCCTCCCAATTCTTGTCTCAGAATTGGCCTCTGGAGGGACCCAAATGAGGACATCCCTATGTCCTGAAGAACGTACCATCTCGTTCTTCGAGGGCCTTCTCCTTCTGTCCTTCCACCTGCATTGGACTCTCTTGATGGTTATTATAAATTACACCCTGCCCCCCCCCCCAATGGTGCTCACTAGGCTGGTAGCAATCTTTTTTTTTTTTTTTCATCCTCGCCGAGGACATTTTCCATTTTTTATTCAGACAGAGCAGGAGGGAGAGACAGGAAGAGAGAGAGAGAAACATCGCCGTGAAAGGGACACATCGACTGGTTGCCACCCACACGACCGAACCAGGGCCGGAGACAAATTGCAACCAAAGTACATGCCCTTAGCAGGAACTGAACCCGGGTCTCTCTGAACTGCAGGCCGACACTCTAACCACTGAGTCAAACCGGCCAGGGCTGGTAGCAATCTTTTGCATATCCCTGTATGTATGTCATTCTGCCAACGAACAAGCAAATCCTTGGATAATTCTTAAAAATGGGATGGTTGAGTCAAAGCATCAATCTTTGTCATTTGGATGGATTTTGCTAAATAGCCCTCTGTTTTCAACATATTGCAAAAGCCCCAACAACTTTTAAGCTTTTCCCATTAGTTCTTACCACCCCACCGCCCAAGCAGGAGAGATGGTCAAATGAACTCGGCCGTTTCTTGAGGCCTTCGAGGGGAGAGCTGAGGTTTTCAGCTTTTCACCTCCTCTCTGAAGGCGGCGTCTCCCTTCCTAGGATCTCCATGGGCTGCTGGGCTGCACAGAGCCTGGGTGTGTCCCAGCCTGGGGTGGGGGTGGGGGGCTTCAGTCGATTCTGTTTATTTCTGATGTGAAAGGGGGAGAAGCAGCACTGTACTTACAATTGGGAGAAAGGCAAGGACCACTTTGGCAACTGTGATTTCCACAGTGAGAATGACAACCATGCGCAAGAAGCGCTGGAAGACAGAAGGGGCCGCTGGGAGCTGGGAGCCTGCTGAGCTTCCCTGCCCACCCCTCAGGCCCCGGTTTGAAAAAACTCACACCCAGTGGGATGGGGGTGTTATTTCTTTCACGTGTTGCTTTCCTACACCTTGTCCAGGATGCAGGCAGTAGGGTATCCTTAGGAGCCAGCTAGCTGGACCCCTGTTTCATGCCCAGCACTTTATAGGTGTCAGGGAGGCTGAAGTGGGGACTCTGGGTGAAGTAAAGGCTGTATGTTGCAGATAGCTGGGGGTGGGGGTGGGGGGGTGGGGGGAGCAGAAAGGCAGTGGGAGAACTTAACAAAGGCAGGATGAGGGGAGAAGGCTCAGACCTTCCAATGTGGGAAGAGGGGTGACAATTGAAGGGGAGGGACAGGTGACAGGTCAGTGGGTGCCAGGAAGAAAACATCAACATTTGCTGACAAATGTTTCCAATAAATTCATGTGCACAGTGGAAAACGATGGGAAATCTGGCAAGCAGAGGGGAGGTCTTCAAGGTACCCATTAAGGAGAAACCACCTCCCTCCGGTGTCTCAGTTTCCCCATCTGTGCAATATATATGTGGGACCAGCTCCAGGGGACTCAGTGGATTCTGTGGAGCTTCTTGAGGCCAGACAGGAGCAAAGTAAGGTCAGCTCCTGACTTCCCTTTCATCTATTTCCATTTATTCCTAGCATTATTATTATTAAGACCTGTTTGCTAATTTAGGCTTTGAATCACCAGGCTGGCTGATGGCAGGACTTACTGGCCTTGACACAGAGAGGCTAGAAACTGCAGTGGATACACCCTCAGGGTCCCCACAGCCAACAGAGTAAATGTGGGTGCAGGGCTTAGCGGTTGTAGGACCCCAGATGAGAGGCTCATGTAACCGTTTATGAGGATTAATACTAATATCAATGTTACTATCCCCCTGCCTCTAGGTGACTAAGATAACCAGTCATCTGCAAGTCTCAGTGGTTCTGTCTTCAGAATCTGTCCTAATCCGCCCATTCACACTGCCTCCACAACCCCACCAGATCCAGCTTCCACCATATCCCACCTGGACCAACACAGTACCTCTGCTCTGGTCTCCCCACACTGTTTCTACCATGGACACCAGAGGGCGCCTGTGAGCACCTGAGTCCCCCAAGTTCCTCCTCTGCTCAGAACCTTCTGTGGCTCCCAACACCATCAAAAAGACTTCATTTTTGTGAGTGAGGTCTCAGAGGCTTTGGAGGGACAGACACGGCAGGTAAGGCAGATAGGATTTGCAGATGGATTGGAAGTGGGGTGTGAGAGAGAAGACTCTGGTTCCTCCAAGTTAAACTATGGTTAAAGTGGTGTCCACATCATGTAAAAGATCAATTGAAATATTGAAGGCACAGGACATGGCTAATGAATATTTGCTGAAAGTATGTAAGACAGGAAATGAGACATGATGGAGCTTCAGAGAGGAGGAGAGTGGGGGCAGAGTCCTCTAGGAGGTGACTAGAGTGAGAATCTACCTGAAACCCCCAAATTGAAATAACCAGAGATTTGTAGCAACACAGTAGAGGAAGGAAAACAAACACACTGGAGACAGATTAAATATAAAGTGGGATAATCGGCTCAGACAAGATTCTAAGGGAAGTGGGAATGGGAAAGCTGGGAGCTGGATTTTAAAGAGATGTTTGGTGTCCTAGCCAGTTTGGCTCAGCAGTTAGAGCATCGGCCCATGGACCAAAGGGTCGCAAGTTTTATTCCAAGTCAAGGGCACGTACCTGGGTTGCAGTTTTGATCACGGGTCCTAGTCGAGGTCATGTGGGAGGCAAACAATCAACGTGTCTCTCTCACATTGATGTTTCTCTCTCTCTCTCTCCCTCCCTCTCTCCCTCCCTTCCATTTTAAAAATCAAGGGGAAAATATCCTCTGGTGAGGATTAACAAAAACAAATCAATAAAAATATGTAAATAAAGAGATGTTTGGCCAAGGCAGTGTGTGAAAATAAGGCACGTAAGCCCAGCCAGTGTGGCTCAGTGGTTGAGCATTGGCCCATGCACCAAGAGGTCACCACTTCAATTCCCAGTCAGGGCACATGCCCAGACTGTAGGCCAAATCCCCAGTGTGGGACATGCAGGAGGCGGCCAATTGATGTTCTCTCTCATTGATGTTTCTATCTCTCTATCTCTCTTCCTTCCTCTCTCTTTAAAATCAATAAAGAAAAAGAAAAATAAGGTATGTAAAATCTGAGACATGCCATCTGCATGATCATGCCCAAAACTTTCATACCCCATGTACTTGAACGTGTATTTGTGCATATATGATAATTAACAGTGTTGTGTTAGTGGGGTGGAAGGAGCAATGTGCTCTGAACAGACCCAGATGCAATGGAAACTCATGTAGACAGAGGAGGACCAGAAGGGTCACTCAGTAAGGGGGACAGTATGTCACTAACTGGGAAAAAAGTCAATCAGATCCCTACCTCACACCACATACATGATTAAACTCACAAAGGCTACGAGAAGAAAATCCAGGAGAATATAATTTATGACCTCAGGTAGGGAAGGAGTGCTAAGTGAGACACATCATAAAGACTCATCAAATGAGACACCATAAACACTGTAACACAGGGGATCATGTGCAGTGAAGGATTTATATATGAGGGGGGAGTTCGGGGGTCTGCATGCAGATCCAACTTAAAAACAAGAGAGTGCCTCAGCTTTCTTTGGTTGCTCCGTACCACCCAATGAAGCCAAGCAGCACCACGATGCAGCCCATCGTCAGACACAGGTGGCCAACATGGAGCAGGGCTGCAGAGGGCAGCCGGAGGATTCTTGTGAGGACAGCCCCTCTGAACTTGACATAGATACCTAGGCCAATGACGATCACCCCAGACATCTTTAAAACAGAGATCAGAAACAGAAAGGCAGTCTGTTAGTTGTATATAAATAGAACTCTCCTGGGAGAGGGAGGATGAGAGTGAAGGTCAATAAAATTAGCAAAAACTTTTTTTTTTTCATTCCTCACCTGAGGATATTTTTCCATTTATCATCAGAGTGAGAGGGAGGCAGAGAGAGAGACAGAGAGAAACATCAATGTGATAGAGCCACATTGACTGGTTGCCTCCCACACTACCTGACAAGTGCCAGGGATGAACCACAACCGAGGCACTTGCCCTTGGCCGGAATCGAACCTGTGACTCATTGGTCTGCAGGCCAACGCTCTAATCACTGAGCCAAACCCGCCAGGGCAGCAAAAATTTTTTTTTTTTTTTATCCTCACCGGAGGACATTTTTCCATTTTTTGTTCAGGTAGAGTGGGAGGGAGAGAGAGGAACAGAGAGAGAGAGAGAAACATCGATGTGAAAGGAACACATCGAGTGGCTGCCACCCGCACAACCGACCAGGGCCGGGGACAAACTGCAACCGAGGTACATGCCCTTAGCGGGAACCGAACTCGGGTCTCTCAGGATTGCAGGCCGACACTCTAACCGCTGAGCCAAACCAGCCAGGGCAGCAAAAATATTTTTTAAATGATAATATCCGGCTGCCCTGGCTAGTGTGGCTCAGTGGTTAAGCGTTGACCCATGCATCAAGAGGTCACCAATTCGATTTCCTGTCAGGGCACATGCCCAGGTTGTAGGCCCAATCCCCAGTGGGGGAAATGCAGGAGACGGCCAACTAATGTTCTCTCTCATTGATGTTTATTTATTTATTTTAACATATTTTATTTCATTTTATTTATTTATTTTTTATCCTCACCTGAGGACATTTTTCCATTTTTTGTTCAGATAGAGTGGGAGGGAGAGAGAGGAAGAGAGAGAGAGAGAGAGAGAGAGAGAGAGAGAGAGTAACATCGACGTGAAAGGGACGCACGACCAACCAGGGCCAGGGACAAACTGCAACTGGGGTACGCGCCCCTAGCGAAAACCGAACCCAGGTCTCTCTGAACCGCAGGCAGATACTCTAACCGCTGAGCCAAACTGGCCAGGGCTCGTTGATGTTTCTATCTCTCTCTCCCTCTCCCTTCCTCTCTCTCTAAAAATCAATAAAGAAAGAAAAAAAAACTAAAGTGGTAAAATGATAATACCCGGCATTGGTGAGGATGTGGAAAAATATTTTCATACATTGCTGCCAGGCAACAAACTTTTATGGTGGTGGGGGGAACAGGAGGGCACTTGGAATTCATATTTAAAACCATAAAGGTTTTGCCCTGGCCGGTTTGGCTCAGCGGTTAGAGTGTCAGCCTGAGGACTGAAGAGTCAAGGGTTTGATTCCTGGTCAAGGGCACATACTTGGGTTACAAGTTCAATCACCAGCCCCGGTTGGGGTCATGCGGGAAGCAACCAATTAATGTGTCTCTCTCACATCGGTGTTTCTCTCTCTCTCTCTCTCCCTTCTTCCCTCCCAATCTATCTATCTATCTATCTAAAAAAAAAAAAAATCTATGGAAAAGTATCCTCAGGTGAGGATTAAAAAACAAACAAACAAACAAAAAAGCCTTAAAGGTTTTAAGGTAAAATCCTTTACTTAGAAATTCCATTTCTAGATATTCAGCCTAAGGAAAATAGTTACTTATGTACCTCAGTATCAGGACGTTTCTTAAAGACAAAACATCAAAAATTACTGAAGCAACCAATAAGACAGAGTGAGTAGGTAAACCATGGTATGGCCATGCAATGGAATCATAGATAGTTACTTTATTATTTATTTATTTATTTATTTACTTACTTAATTACTTACTTACTTACTTACTTATTATCCTTACCCGAGGACAGTTTTGCATTTATCTTCAGATAGAGCAGTAGGGAGAGAGGGAGGAAGAGAGAGAGAGAAACCATGTGAGAGAGACACACACAGACTGGTTGCCACCCACACAACCTCAACTGGGGCCGGGAATAAACCACAACTGAGGTACGTGCCCTTAGCAGGAACCGAATCCAGGTCTCTCTGGCCTGCGGGCCGACGCTCTAACCACTGAGCAAAACTGGCCAGGGCTAGATTGTTACTTTATTTATTTATTTATTTTTAAAATCTTTATTGAATGTAAAATGTATTACAGATGTTCCACATTTTTCCCCCATTGACCCCCTCCTCCCCCTCCCGCCCCTCTCCCGCCTTTTCCCACACTATTGTCTGTGTCCACTGGTTATGCATATAAGTTCTTTGGTTTATTTCTTCCCACCCCCCCAACCCCTTTCCCTTTGAGGTTTGTCAGTCTAGCAATGAATTTGTGCTTCTTAATCTCTTCACCTTTTTCACCCATTCCCCCAACCCCCCTCCCAACTGGCAACCAACAAAATGTTCTCTGTATCTATGAGAATGTTTCTGTTCTACCTGTTCATTTTGTTTGTAGATTCCATTGTTGATAGATATGTATTCATTGCCATTTTGTTTGTTCATATATTTTATCTTTTTCTTCAAAAAGACCCTTCATCATTTCATATAATAACGGTTTGGTGGTAATGAACTCCTTTAACTTTTTCTTGTCTGGGAAAGTTTTTATATGTCCATCGATTCTAAATGACAGCTTTGCAGGATAGAGTAATTTTGGTTATAGGTTCTTGGTTTTCATCACTCTGAATATTTCTTGCCACTCCCTTCTGGCCTGCAAAGTTTCTTTTGAGAAATCAGCTGACAGCCTTATGGGAACTCCCTTGTAGGTAACTAGCTGCCTTTCTCTTGCTGCTTTTAAGATTCTATCTTTGTCTTGAACATTTTGCATTTTGATGATGATGTGTCTTGGTGTGGGCCTGTTGGGGTTCATCTTGTTTGGGACTGTCTGTGCTTCCTGGACTTGTATGTCTGTTTCCTTCACCAAGTTAGGAAAGTTTTCTGCCATTATTGTTTCAAACAGGTTTTTGATTTCTTGTTCTCGCTCTTCTCCTTCTGGCACACCCAAGATGCAAATATTGGCACGCTTGAAGTTGTCCCAGAGGCTCCTTACACTATCCTCATTCTTTTGGATTCTTTTTTCTTTTTGCTGTTCTGATTGGGCATTTTTTGCTTCCTTATAATCCAAATCGATGGTTTGCTCCTTGGATTTACATACTCTATTATTGAAGCTGTGTAAATTATTCTTTATTTCAGTTAATGCCTCCTTCAATTCTAACTGTGTATCCATCATTTCTGACTGGTCCTTTTTTATGCTCTTGAGGCCCTCACTAAGTTCGCTGAGGTTCTCACTAAGTTCATTGAGGATCCTTATAAGCAGTATTTTAAACTCAGCATCTGTTAGGTTGCTTATCTCCATTTCGCTTAGTTCTTTTATTGGGGTTTTGTTCTGTTCTTTCATTTGGGACCTGTTTCTTTGTCTCCTCATTTTGGCTGCCTCCCTGTGTTTGTTTCAGTGTATTACTTAATGAGAGGTATGGGGCTCACTGAGACCAGATGCTGCTCGTTTGAAAGAATTTAGGAAAAAACTGAAGCAGGATCCAAGACAGGCCAATCCTATGGTTAAGCAAGTGGCAACAGCTTGGGTGGGCCTGACAGTTGGGTGGGGTGGGGCGGGGCCTCAGGGAGTCACCAGGGCGGGGCTACCAGTGTGAGTCAGGTTGCTGGAGTTCCCAATATGGCGCCTGTCTGCCGCCCCAGGGAAGGGCTCACCAAAGGAGCAAAAGCCTCTTACAGCACGTTTGTCCCAGAGAAAGCCCCCTCTCCAGCCCTCGCTCCAGTGCCAAACAGCTCAGTTCTTCCCTGTATGTCTCTGGTGCCCCTCGAGCGGCCTCCCCTCCAAGCTTAGAGGGAGAGAGTCGGATAAGTTTGCGCGCGGGCCCTTTAAGGAGCTGCCTGGGGCTCCAGCTGCTTCAGCTTCCCTGAGCCTCAATTCCCGCTGTTTTTTCCAGCCAGAAGTTATGGGGATTCTCTCCCTGGCACTGGAACCCTGAGCGGGGCACCTGGTGTGGGACGGGGACCCCTCAGTCCTCAGGAAGGACCTTCCCAGCCGAGGTGTCCTCCTGAATCAGCCACACTTTGGTGTGGGACCAGCCCGTCATGCCGCCGTCACCTTGCGCCTCTGGCCCTCCTACCAGTCTGGATGTGGCTGCTGCTTTAATTCCGTAGTTGTAGGACTTCCATTCAGCTTGATTTCAGGCAGCTTTGAATGATGGTTGTTCTGTAGTTTAGTTGTAACTTTGATGTGGTTGTGGGAGGACGCGATACCGCGTTTACTTACGCCGCCATTTTGACCGGAAGTCCTAGATAGTTACTTTAAATGATACTGTAGGACAAGGGGATAACAATGTTTTCTGAAAAGTTCCAGATATAATAAGCTTTGTAGGCTGTAATTTCTCTCTTCAAAGAACTCAGCTATGCTGGTGTAGCTCAAAAGCAGCCAGACTCAATTTGTAAACAATTTTGTAAATTTATAAATACGTTTTATGTACTTACCTATTTACCTGTCTATTATCTATCTATCTATCTACCTACCTACCTACCTACCTACCTACCTATCTGGCTGTACTTTGCTGACCTTTATTGTAGGAGAATGTTTATTAATACAAAAAGATATTTCCAAAGCCTTAATAAGTCTTTTTAAAAGCGGGTTGTTACCCTGCTGGTGTGGTTCAGTGGATTGAGCGTTGTCCTATGCACCAAAAGGTCATGGGTCTGATTCCTTGTCAGGGCACAGACCCACACTGTGGATCCCATCCCAGTCTGGGTGCATGTGGGAGCGATGTTCCTTTTTCTGTCTCACCCTTTCCCTTCCTCTCTCTCTCAAATCAGTAAAAACATCTAAGTTGATTTAAAACATATTTTTAAGAAGTGGACTGTCAGCAGTCGGGCCCTTTGGTATTGCCCAATGGATTTGAAAATTTATGTCCACATAAAGACTTGATAAACTGGGGACTCTGCAGCAGAATTACCCAAATTGTAGGGTCAGGATTTTAGCTGTACCAG